GAAATGAGAAAATGATAAGATAACGGTAACCCGTCTAAACGGAATCGAAGTGGATGTAGAAATGAGACGGCGGCAAAAAAAAATTATTTATGGATCATAATTTTTCAAGAACAATAACGAGAGCTCCGTAATCTTTCAAATTCAAGTTATTTGACGGTTTCCTATTGTTGTCACTTTGGTCGCTGACACGCACCCATTCGCCGGACTCAAGCAGTCGCCAACAAACGTAGTGGCCATGTGGGCCTATCCGTTCGAATGCAGCAAAACTGATTAGACGCCATTGGTGGCCGAAAATCGATACGTGTCTGCAGACATCGAAATCGAGACGAGCTTCGTCTGCAAAAAAAAGTGTTGAGGAAGAAGAGGAAGAGACGGGACGCGAAAACTAACTTTGATTCGCAAAAACGAGGTGGTATTTAGGCGAATGGAACACGTGCGATTGGAGCATAACCACTCCGCTGCTACATTTCGAGCATTTTGATCGCTGGGGACACCATCTTTCCTGCATCGCCTCATTGAGGTCCCACAACGGATTGTTGTCCGTTAAAAAAAGATGAGTGTGCCATGCAGTTTTCGAGCGCGACTGAATGTCCACACATCCGACCGTGTCACATGTTGTTTGCTTGTACCAGTGAACAAGCACTGTATCAAGAATGAACGAATCCGAACAGTGATGAAGACACTGGAAAAAACGTGTGTGTGTGTGTGTGTGCGTTTGTATGTATGCAACAACCTCAAACATGAAGACGAGCACGTCGCGAATGTCTTGTTGACCGCTATGAAGAGGCTGCGGAAGAGCGTTTCGCATGCGAACCGGTGACGAGGATGCCCGAGAGAAAAGCTGACGCATTTCGTACCACGATCTGAGTAGCGCTTCTTCAGACTTTTCCATTTCGAAGAACGGTCGAATGATGAGTTGCTTGCGCAAATCGGTGCAACTAAACAATATGTTAACCGCCGAGTTGAGGAAGCAGTCATTTCCGTTGGCATTCAACAAGAGCAAGTAAGGTTTCGAAGGTGGACCGCTCTGTTCGAGAATGGCTGAGTAAACCGCGTCGATAGCGGGGTCAGGCGCGAAGGGATCGGAAGTGAAGTCCTCGTTATCGACCCAGTCCGACACGGTTGGCGGGTGGCCGGCGGCGATTATACCGGGACGAGTGGCAGCTCGCCGCGAATGGTGTTCGCCTTCGCCATCGTCGTGGGAGGAGAATGAAGCATCGTTGCGCAAATCTTGGAAGTCGTCGAGAACCATATCCTCCTCTTTCTCTTGCAACCTAGCCTGAGACGTAGCGCGCGCGTACGCTTTCTCGACATATACGAAAAAGTTGAGATTGCTCATCTCGAGGAATGAATTGGATGAAAGCGTTACGCCTCCGTTGTCCGAGCACAACCAACCACTTTCAGGACTTCGGTACCAAACAGTCGGCAATTCGTAGGCATCACGGTTGCGTAAGCCAACAGCTCCAAGCAGCAGAAAACGGGAGCGACCGATAAGAACAGGGTCGCTTTTGAGCGGCAAATAAGACGAGCTTTCAGCTGGCTGCACGACAAATAGGTACTTGGAACCAGATCCGCAAGTTTGTATCTCGACAGTTTTTCCACCACACGGAATGCCATCAACGAGTTTATCGCAACGGCGATCAACGGGAGTGGCACGACGACAGTGTTCGTCGACGACGAGGTGAAGATGTCCGAAGAGTGAATCTTCAGCTTCAAGCCAAACAAATTGGCGTGGACGCGCGGAAATGCTGACATTTTTGCAACGGCTGCAAGTGGACGTTACCTCGGTTCGTCGTTCAAAACACGAGCGCAGGTTCGCGGGAAGAGCCTTAAAATAGAAAAAAGTATGAGGCATAAAAGGAAATAGTACCGTCAACACGCTGGCTATCATTCCGAACATGGTCGCGGCAGAACCGCCAACGCTTTGAATCAAATCCGAAGTGTCGTTGTTGGCTCGGAGGAGACATAGACGGATTGACATAAATGTGACGTCTTCATCTTCTTCGTTGCCCTGCAGCGACTGAAACAGAGACAACAGCGAGGTGTGCAATTGCTCCATCATTGTGACGGAATGGAGAAGCGCAATGGCGACCGATTCGGTCAACGCGGCTGTTTCGTTTTCGACCGTTGGCGAAAAGGTAAGACGGGGAACGAGGTTCTTGATTTGTGCGTCAGATGTCCACAAGAAGTGTGCAACGCGCTGAGAACGTGTCGATAAGCGAGATTTCTGGCTTTCTTGCACAACTCCAACAGATTCCTGTGTTCGGTTCAACAAAAGCTCTTGCGAAGGTGCCGAGGAAAGAGAAGACGAAGGCGAGGGCACTTGTTTGAGAGTCGGAGCGATAGTGACGGCAACTGTTTTGTTGTCGTTCTCTGAAGCCTTCAGCGCATCTTGAAGTGGCAGAAGTTTGATGAGTCGGCGCAAACGATCGGCTTCCTTGAGCGCATCGGGGTCGTGGAAGATCTTCGACTCGGCAAAACCGGACAAGTGCAGTCCGGTCAGGCATGTAACACGACTTATTGCCACGTAGAACATGCCTCCGGAGAAGATGTTCTTCGGCCTTACAAAAACGTTCTTCAACGTCAGGCCCTGTGCTTTGTGGATGGAGGCGGCGTATGAGAGAACCAGCGGAAACTGGGACCGCGAAACGACGTCCTCGTCTCTGACAAAGAAGACTTGGCGCTCGCAGATCGGAACTTCAAACGGAGGGTCACCGTCCCACCTGGAAAAGGGAAAAAGTGGAGAAATGAGAAATAATGCACAAACCGTACGTAAATCCACGAAGGGCGAGTGTTGACGCTGTCAAAGACGATCTTCGTGACGACACCGGTAGCGCCGTTAACCAAGCGCATGGAAATGTCGACGTTTTGGCGCAGCATTACGCGAGCTCCGACAGCAACGACGAGACGATACGGCAAGCCAGAGCGCATCTGGCGGTCGACTCCAACATCAACAGAACCCGCATCGGGAAGGCGTTTCTGCAAGTGTGGTTTGAGGCGGTGCAAAGGCATTCGATTCCAAGGTTTGCTGCCCGTTCGCTGCTTCAGTTTCCTCGTGATGAAATCGGAGGCATTTTTCTCGACGACATCTTTTGCCATAATTTCGATTGTGTCGAGTTTGATGAGCTCAACAATCGTTGCGTTCATGCGGTTCACCTCTTCGTTTGTTGGAAAAAGAGCCATCGCACAGGAGTCCGTTTTGAGAAGCTCGAGGAAGAAGGCTGCGTCCTCTTCAGGTGTCGGATCGAACGGGACCTTGGCCGGAATCATGCGGGTCATCAGGAGAGCAATGTCTTCCGGAGTCTGCGCTCCACAACGAATGCGGCACAGCATTTGGACCATTTTCAGCTCTTCTTTTTGTCGCATGTTTTCGAGCAGTTCTCTGTACTGGAGCGTTCTCCAAAGGTTAATTGACACGTGCATCGCGCCAAATATGCGGTGCATTTCGTGGCGCGGAATCTCTGGAAAAAAAAAGTGTGCGATAAAGAGTAAAAACAAAAAGATGGCATTTAATTCGGAGGGTACAAAAAAATTAGGGGGTTCAACAGGGCACAAATGGTTTTGGGGTACAACTTTCATGGTTTTGGGGTACAAAAAGTCGAGGGTGCAAAATTTTCGATTCTGGGGTCCAAAAATTTACCGATTCAGTAGGCATTGATTAAGGGGTACAACTTTTATGAGTTAAGGGTAAAAATTTCACGATTTTGGGGTACAAAAGTTGCACGAAGCACATTTTCGAAGTTTTCATTCCAGTTTTGAATTTTTGAGAGCTCACGAGACACAGTCGTGTGTAGCCATGCTTTGTTATATGCAGTATTTTGTGTAATTTCGAGAAAAAAATTTAATTGGGTAAATTTCACACACAACAGCAGATGCTGAAATTCTGCTGTGAAATTGCAGAATTTAAAGGGGCCAAAACAGCAAAACAACTTGTAAGTAATATTATAGGGGCACCGAATAGAAAGGACGTTCTGTTCGCAATCTGGCCAAATTTCTAGTCCGCGAAGTAATTTTCCACTGAAAACGTGGCCTAACTTTTCAAACTCGGCCCCGAGCTCACGGAATTTGCACTGCAAAAAAGTTTATCAATAGAGCGCCCTTTCTGTTCGGTGCCCCTATAATAACAAAAGGGTCGCCGTTTGAACCACATTCTATCGGAAGCAAAATGCTTCGAGGGGTCATGAAATCTCATTTAAAAAACATCTCTGGAACTGATCAAGCGGTTCGGAGTACGAAACATTCACGGAGTAAAAAAATTTTGTAAAACAACTAAAAACATTCACTGAATTGATGAAACCCATGACTCCCATGAAAAAATGGGAAAAAAATTGTTGTACCCCAAAATCGTGAAATTTTGTACCCTTAAATCATAAAAGTTGTACCCCTTAATCAATGCCTACTGAATCGGTAAATTTTTGTACCCTAGAATCGAAAATTTTGTACCCTCGACTTTTTGTACCCCAAAACAACTTGTACCCTGTAGTACCCCCTAATTTTTGTACCCTCCGAATTAAATGCCCAAAAAGATACCCTTGAAGGCGTGCATCGCACGGACAGGCGGAAGTTGCAATAGATCTCCGAAAAGAAGGACGTTAAATCCGCCGAAGATCTCGCGGTCTCCGCTGATCTCCTTCAGGCGCCGATGAATTTTCATCAGTACCACGTTGGAGACCATGGACACCTCGTCGACAATGATAAGCTTCACTGACGAGAAAAGGAAGCGGAGTTCGTCGAGCTTGTTGTCGAGACTTTCAAAGTCTTCTTCTTTTTTGTACTGCGACACTTTGATGCTGAACAGAGAATGGATGGTGTTGCCGTCGATGGCAAGTGCCGCAATTCCAGTCGGAGCCGCAATCAAAACGGCCGGCCTCACACCGGTCGCGCCAGATTCTGTGTAGCGTTGAGTGAGCTCGTCGGCGAGTATATTGATGAGGAATGACTTGCCAGTTCCGGCAGTACCGCTCACAAACATTCGAATCGGTGTGGGGCGCTCTCGAAGCTCTTTTCTCTCCAATTGAGACCCGGCGCACGTGTTGTTGTGAGCACGCGCCTCGTTGTTGACGACTTCAACGGCTTCTTGTTGTGCAATGCGAGAGCAGATGAGGTCGAATATGTCCTACAAACAAAAAAAGTGGAAAACGTAAAGTGGATCTGCGAAGTGTACCTTTTGAACTGCGTTTAAGCCGGAAATGGCAGTTGCATGTTGCGCAGCGTCGACGGTACGCGGCTGGATCTCGAGTTTGTCGACGGCTTCCTCGTCGATTTCGAGCCTCTCTTTTATTTTCTTAATATGGTCCATTCGGTTGCAATAGTCCGATTCTTCCTTCATTATCTTCTCGTATCCGGCCATGAGCAGGTCCACGTCGGCTCGCGCATCCGGGCTCTCTTTTTTCAGTGTTTTCAAGTATATTCGCCACACATCTCGATAGGTGTCGACACTAAAGCGAGCCTTGATGAGGCGCTCATCTCGCCATGGAACGAAAACGACGACTAGGCGGCGAAAATGATCGTCACCTTCGTCAAGAGCGTCCGCATTGAAAGGAGGAAGATGGAAACGACCAATCTGAAAGAAGTTATAAAAAAAGCAGAAAAGTACTGTTACCTTCGGTTTTATTTTCCGCATGAATTTGCGGAAGCACGAAGGAATCTCAAACTTTTCGCCTGGCTTGACACCGGGATGGCAGTAAAAAGGACTATGTCTGTCGTGGCAGTGGTAGCGAGGAGACGTGTCGTTGAGGCGAGCTTGAGCAGCAAGATCTTCGTCGCCGAAAAAAACCTCATCGTCAGCGTCCTCTTCCGCTGTTTTTTTGTCTGCGTTGATCGTGTGCCACAACGCCGAATAGTCGTCAACATCGGTGTCACGGGGAGAAGGAAATCGGCTGCGACGAATGGTAGAGTCTGAAAAAAAAGAAACGGAGGTAAGTAAACCGAGGAGAGCAAGAGAACACCTGGCTTAGCTGTGACGATCTCAAAATTAGTTACAATATTGTAGAGTGAGAAATTTTCGAACTGACGTGGCCGGCCGGGATAGAAATCGTCGTTCCAGTTAGCTTCAGTCATTCGACTGTCATCGTCCACTAAACGGTGTTGAGGAACAAGCACACGAGCACGGTCATCAACCGGATCGTTGTGCACAAAAACGTGAGCGGTATCGAACGAAAAGTTTGAGTGCGACAAGAGATCATCCATAATTTCCAGCATGCCAACTTCGCGATTCTCCAACATTGTCATTCCGACATTCCACACGATCTTCGAGGCACGCAAGTTTTGCATCGCGAGATTCGACATAGTTTTATCGTTTGCCCGTTTCGCTTTTTCACCTTTGGTGGTGTAACCTGTCACGTAGTTGAGCATATCACGAACACCGTCAGGGATAAATTGGGTGTCAATGTTTCCTCCCCACCTGAGCAACAATCCAGGCGAATAGTCATTGACGAGTGACTCGTCGGCCGTTCGCGCCAAATAGTACGGGCGAGCGCGACTGTTAGGCATCGACTTGATGGTCGAATCAGAATAGAAAATCGTTTTCTGCCGAGCTGGAAAAAAGAAATGTATTTAAAGAAAAAGAGCTTAAAACAAAAGCGAACAGTACCTTGTCGTGGAAAGTTGAATCGGCACAAGTCAGTGCTCCATCGGCCTCTTATTTTGCGCTTACGACGGCATGTGGATGAGTGGTTAGCCCAGTGCAACTGATTGGCTATTACTAGAGCGTAAAGCTCTTGCTCTGTTTCTTTATCCGGAATACGACAAGTAATGTGTCGATCAAGGTACGCTTCGACCTCAGAAGCAGAGGCTGAGACATTCGGCTTGTCACTAGTCCAGAACAAACAGTGGACATGTTGGGTGCCGCGGTGCTGATACTCTACTCGGTAAAACCAATGTGTCACTATGCCCAGCGGTCCTCCTTCTGGCCGGCACACAATGTCTCGCATGAAGCACAACACTTTTCTTCGCCAGTATCTGGCAAAAATCACAGGATCCGTGGAAATTGCAGTTTCGATTGTGTGCTCGGTGATATCGGTGCGTTGCAGAACACGGTTGTAGAGCGCATGTAAATCCGTCCACCCTTTTATGTTCGGGTTCAAAGTGACGAACCAACTCGGCGTGCCGAAAGTGGCGATCGAAGATCGCAAATCGAGTTTGACCGACTTCCAATACTGCGGATAACCCCGCATTTTGTGGAAAAGCGAGGTCATCACTTTCTGGCTTTTCACGCTCGTTGCGTCGAACTCTTTGCGGCTGGGCGCTCCCGAAACGCGCGCCAAAACTCCTGAAAAAATGAAAAATGTGAGGAGAAGGTGAAAAAGAAGAAGCGTACCCTGGACCGACGTAATCGCCAGTTGCTGCTTGTATGCGAACATGAAGCAACTCCATTTCGCATTAGTCGCAAAGCGACGGTCAACGTTCAGCAAACGTGTCCGAATGTATTTCGACAATCGGACAAAAGTGGCACGTGTGGCGTGCATACCATCGTCTCCGAACGGGTGGAGAAGAGGGAACGTGTCGAGATCGAGATCCTTCGACGATATCTTCTTCGGAGCGTACACCTGCTTTTTCAAAGTGTACTTTGAAAATGCAGTTGCGGAGTCTCTCTGCTGTTGGACTCTCCGGACAGGCTGAACGTGTACCATATCCTGCGTGAGTATGTACTGGCCAGGCGTGTCTTCACGGGAAACAAGAGCGTCGGCGTCGGACTGAGTCGCGGTCGCATCCTCGAAGATCACCGAATCTCCTAAGCCGAAACGAAAATCGGGGTTGATAGTGATATCGGCATAAAAGGGATGATTAGTCTTGAGAAACTCAAGTGCCGCAATAACTTTTGGCAGACGCACAACATAGGTCTTCTCCCAACCTGTGCGAACGTCAATAATCAAGTTCGATTCAGAGGGCAGCGTAGAAACAACGTGATCAACAGTAGCGGCAATCTCCGTAGGTACTACAACCATAACAGCATTGGTGGAACGCATCGATGTTTTCTTTCCGCTGATAGAGTGAAGAAATAATATTTTCTGGAGTGGCCTACTTCGCTCAATCAACATCTTCTCGATGGAATTAAGACAGGACAATTGAGGAACATCAGGAACATCACGAAACTTGTTGAGAGTGGCCGCAGCAGGCAGACAAGGCTGTGAACGGCGCGTCATTGACTTATGGCAAATGTCACAACAAACGATGGTGTGAGAGGACTTCTTCTTTTTATTGCTCTTCTTTCTTTGCTCCTTCTCCTTCTCCTTCTTCTTCTTCTTCTTCTCGGTCTCACTGTCAAAACTATCCGCCAGCTCCTCGTCATCGGTGTTGTCCTCTTGTGAATCAGAAGCGGACAGATCTCCAAGAAAAGTTGCGTAACGAGCATACGGTCGGTCTCTAATGTATAGGCTACATGTGAGTTGTCGACAGACGGCGCACACGCGATCTTCTTGAACGAGCATCGACGAGGCAAACTGTTCGAAAGCCTTGCAAAATTTGCGTTCCACCACTCGTTGAGTGTGCTGTGTCTGAACAAGCGGAGCAGCAAAATTGGTCAAAAATTCTTCTCTGAGGCTGTCGGGAAGAGAGTCGAGGGAGAGAAACTCTTTCATCTCCAAAAAGTTGTTCGATTCAGTAGCACGTATGCAGTTGGCGAGGAGGTCGATAAGCTGGCCAATTTGACGGAAACGCGCGGTGATGGAGCGGACGCCTTGGAAGCAAGCTGAGTGTTTAGCGAACCAATCGCACACTTTCAAGGTGTTGCCGGTCCACGAGTAGGATAAGTGTGAGAGGTGGAATTCGGCACGGTAACCAGACATCTTCAAGACGCTCGACAAAACAGACGCGTGGACGGCAGCCGCCTCTGTAAAAAAATTTTACTCAGAGAGGAGGAAAAAAGGAAAGAAAAAACTTATCCAAAATCAACGAAAGGGCAATCCGAATCGCATCTCCTTGCCAGAGTGTAGTGTTTGAGCAGAGCGGCCGTGATTTCGTCGCCATCTCGGAGCACTCGTTCAGCCTGGCATCCGTACTCACAACAAAGAGCCTCTTTCAAATCACGCGGGTCAATGAAGGGCGGGAGGAAAGGTGCTGGCGGCAAAAGCTGATTTTCGCCAATTCCGGCGCGGGAATCTAAAAGAGGCGGAAAGACAGGTGACGGTTCAACCGAGCCAACCACCAAAGGCTGAATCGGTGGCAGAGAATTGTCGAAACGTTCCGCGTCATCAACTAGTGCGCAGGGCACAACAACAGGAGCTGAGCTGACGGGAACAACGCCAACAAAATCGCACCAAGCAGCGGTGTACGCGTCGTTGATCGAGACATACTTCTTGCCGTCGTCAGTTTTCAAGTGAAGCGGAATCCGACACAATTGTCTTTTTTTGCGTTCGTCAGGGGATACGGACGCGGGACAACCAATGTCCTGCTGTAGCTGCGTAGCAACACGCTTTCTCAATTTGGCAATGTGTTCTTTCGCAAATTCCATAAGAACAGTCATTCCGGCAACAACATCTTTTTGCCCAACGCTGCATGTGCCTCTCCACGACCAACGCAAGCTGAAAAAGTTTAAATAAAAAAAGAAGAAAAATAAAAGCATACTTTTTCGCTGCTTTAGTAGAACCCATAAGTTTCGTCAATTTCACTCGAAGACCGGACTCTTTCTTCTCCTGAGAACCGTGCCGAGAAGCAACAAGAGAAGATGACTTGGAAGCACTCTGAGCTTCAGCAGTAAGGCGAATTTTTTGAACGGCACTATCCGAATCAGAGGCGGAGCCGTCATATTCGGCTAATCCAACAACAAGACGAGGCTGGCTGACCGAGGCATGCTAAAAAAAAAATGTAATGAGGAAAAAAAGCAGCAAACCTTCTTGGGCACGTCTTCAACAGCTTGACTGTGACGCTGCGTTTCCAACAACGGTACTTTCTGAGAGGGACTGCCAAAAAAGTCACTGGCTGAAGAACGCCTTTTTTTGCCAGCGCACCGGTAACTCGGAGCAGGAGATGGAGAAGGAGAGCAGCTGACACGCAAAGCGCGAAATTCTGGACTCTGAAATAAGCTATAAAAAAAATTGTAAAGGGAATGCACCTGTCCAGGGGATGCACCAGTTTCAAAAGTGCGAGAAGAGGGAATAGAAACGCTGAGGGGCGGGTACAAAATCAACGGAGCAGGCATCCGGCGAGCAGGCGAAACCCCAGCAGAAGACGGAGGCTAAAAAAAAATAAGGCCAAAATAAACGTGAAAAAACGATTACATCTAACTGAGCACACGCAACACGAGGCTTCTTGAAAGGAGTCAAAGAGGCTTTCGCACGGAGAGAAGGATCGAACGAAAACACAGGTTTGCTGGCGGCAGAAGAAGCAGAGAAAAAACTACCGACGCCGTCTCTCCTTTCACTCGGCACAGGTGAAACTGAACGCTGAAAAAAGAAACAAATCAATAAATTTAGAAAAAAGAAGTCGGCGAAACCTCGTTTTCGAACTCCGCATCGGAGCAACGTCGCCATCGTTCCTCGGCAGCAGCTTTCCGTTTTGTCGAACATGGCGCAACAGTGTTACGAAGTTTCAAGTTAGACAAGCTGCTAAGAGAAACGTTGCTGCAGCTTTGACGAAGCTGGAAAAAAGGGTGGATAAAAAAAATGAGGAAGCCGTACCTTATCAGCGTGCTCACGCATTGACGCCGAATCCTTGACAGGGGACACACGAGACGCGGGCAAGTGACAAGGAGCCGCGGCAAAACTGCGTCCAGGCTTTGCTGAATCGGAAAGAAGAAAGGAGCGAAGCTCGGCTCCATAGTCCCGCCTGCACCGCTGAATTTCAGCGAAAGTGCGTTCGGGAGACGAAGTAAGAGGAGAAAGAAACGATAGGTCCGCCACGAAATGTTCCATTTGAAGACAACACTCAGCATTCAACACAGTCTGAACTCCGCAGTCTACTTCGACTTGAGCAGGAATATGCCTTTCATCAGCACGAACAACGCTGACAACAGAATCGACGGCAAGCAGCTGGCACGCTATCGACGACAAGTCCTCATCGGTAACAAAAGCGGTAAGGCCGAAAGTAGAATCCAAAACTTGCAGCTGAACGACGCCATTCGCACACTTTCCCAAGTGAATGAGATAAAAATGCTGGTGAGACAGAACAGGAATCAAAAAGCGATGCACCAAAGGATGGCAAAAAGTAGCTGTCTCTGCAAAAGCTCCACGACAACACGAACTACGAAGAGCTCGTGATAAGAAAGTGGGGTGGAGAAGGCAAACGGAGTTGCTCCAGTCCTTGCCAGCATTGAACCGAGAAACCTGAAAAAAGTGAAAAATAACAGTGGAACCGTTGTGCTGTTTATTTTTAGACATTACTGAATAAACCCACAAAGGGAAAAGGAGCCAAGTGAAAAGTGGAAGCTCTGGTTCACCGGCAAAAATGAAGAAAAGAACTAACTCTTTCATGGAGAAGTCTGAAGACTCCTTGTGCCGTCAGGCAGCTCGACTGTTTCTCAGCACACTCTGCATCGAAAGTATCCAAGAAAAACAGAAGGTGCAAGTGATCTCTGAAAAGGAAAAATGCGGAAAGAAGAAAAGAAAAACTGACTGATCCATAGCAGCTTGATCTCCCGGTGTGTGTTCGAAGAAAGTGTGTGTGTTCGTGTTCGAAGAAGCAGGACAAGGTTAGAAAATATAGAAGGTCTGAAAAGAAAGATGTAAAAAGAAGAGATAACCGCTAACTAGGAGAAACAAATGGCACCTAAGGAGCAAAGGAGTACAAATGTAAAAGAAAAACAATAATGCTCAATCAAACAAATGGACGCCCCGAGGCAAGGAGGCAGGACCTCAGCAAAAACTGTAACATTCGGCAAATTCACCAACAAACGTAATATACTAGCATAGCGGAAAAAAAATCGAATGATTTCAATGGGGCGCACTTGCAACATACGAATTTCAAAAAAAAAAAAGTTACTTAATGTGAAGGAGAGCATACTCAGGTAAAATTTCAAACTTTTCTTGGCTCTTCTGAAGACATTCTCAAACTTTCTCAAGACAAAAAACTTTTCCAAGACCTTTTCAACCTTTCTGAAGCACTAAAAACTTTTCTAAGCCTTTCTTAAACTTTTTCAAGAAATTCTCAGACTTTTTCCAGAAATTCTTAAACTTTTCTAAGCAATTCTCAAACTTTTCCAAGAATTTCTTAGGTGGCGCCTGGAAAAGTTTGAAAATAGCTAAGAAAAGTTTGAAATTTTACCTGAGTATGTCACAAATCTCCATGGTTAGCCAACAAGGTTTCGATAAAAAATGAAGGGACCGGGATTCCCAATGGCATAACCGAACAACCGGGGCATTCGGCATTTCGCGAAAATGCGTAGCGAAGTACGACGAACAAAGTGATCTGAAGGCATAAAAATGTGAATGATGAAAAAAAAATTGGATAAACCTGAATTAACGCAAGAGTTGCGGAAAAGAAGGGAATAGGCCAAAGTGAGCGAACGAAGGGCACGACAGAGTTGTGAAAACGGTGACCAAAAGATAGCGGCAGAGAAGGTTTCGGAATGTTGCATAGATCCTGGAAAAAATTAAATGAGTGACTAGTATATGCAGAAGAGTATATGTTTCAAGTTAAAAAAAAAAGGTGGAAAAAACGTACAATGTATGGTCCAAGATCATCTTTAGAAAGGAGAGTGAATGGGAAGACAGCCACTATGCGAATAGGGGCTCCTTTTGTAGCAGCTATCGTGTCGGACGGCCTCGCCCAACAAAAAAAGCACAACAGACTACTCGCTCGGCCTACGGCCTCGCACGTCTACTAGCTCGGCCTACGGCCTCGCATATC